TCAGGCTGATTTGAGTGTTTTTCACACACAACCATCTCTAGAGTGTACTCAAAATGGTGTGAAAAACAAAATACATTTTTTAAGCATCATTTTTCAGGGCAAAAATGCCTTGAAGAGAGAGGTCAGAGGAGAATGACCAGACAGGTTTGAGTTGACAGGAAGGCTACTGTAACTCAAACATTTTTTACAACCATATGAGCAGAAAAGCATTTCAGAAGGCACGACATGTTGAACCTTGAAGTGGATGGGCCACAATAGCATAATACCACATTGAGTTTCACTCCCGTCAGCCAAGAATAGGAATCTGAGGCTACATTCGACACAGGTTTACCAAAATTGGACAGTTGAAGATTGGATAAACATCACCTCGTCTTTTTCCAAAAAGTGCTTTATTAAAAGCATGTGCAATTAGGGGATAAAGCCATTAAGACTATTGGAAAAAATACCCATCGACTGTGCTAGTATTAACTGTAAACCATAAACATGTGGTTTACTTCAAGCACTAAAGATTTTGGCCTTATCCAATTAGATTGAATCTAGAATGTTCCAATACAATAAAGTCATTTCAAACATTTCTCAATTCACTAAACATTTAATAATCGTTTCTTAAATACTCACATTCAGGAAAGTGACAAATTAATTGAATCCTGCTCTGATTCTGTTTACAGCTTGCTTGTAATTGTCTCTAAAACCTAATTAGCATAGGTCTAATATTTGGCCATTTTCTGTTTCCTTTGCTAATGACTTTCAGGTACATAATCCATAATTGAGTGTATTCTGTAATTTTGTGAGAAACAAGTTTGTGACATGGCTAAAAACATTTAGAAGCTGAGCAAAAATAAAGCATGTTCTGCCTTCACCGATGTTTTTTAAAAGCATTCATTGGACTCAAACTATAATCCTGCTGAGCCATGGAGATTAAGGTATTTTGCATACTAATACCCTTCTGTGTAATTTTAAACATTCATAACTTTGAGATTATGTGCTGACACAGTGCACATTTTCATTCACTCTCCCCAGTTCCACGTAATTTGTCATATTTTGTCAAGAATTTACTGTGACTTTGTTAGTAAAGCCTGAAGATCAGGAAAGAACACGTTATAAGAGTGTGAGATAATAATTGAAAAGATGTGATGGGCAAAATAATTTGCTGTGTATTTTCATAACGTTTGCATATTTTAACATTAAATAGAATGAATAAAACTAATCTAAAATGTAAGAGTCATATTAATAATTTTCCTGGAAAATTAATATGATTAATTCTGTAAAATTTATTCATTTGATAAAACTTAATCCAAAATGGCTGGGAGTCAATGTTCTTCCTCAGGGGCCCTACAGTTTCTGTTCAGGATTTGAATTCAAAATATTCAGTCACTATTACAGGACTTTAGCCCAATCTAAATATTTGTCATTTATATATGAATGTGTATTACATTAAAATCAGAGGTAAAGGTGTTACTTTGCGTATGGAGGGCTTTGCCGTTACATGATTTTATCTTGTTAACATCAAGAGAGGGAAGAAAGAGAGGCTGGTGAGGAAATGACTTTATAGCTATTATAACATGATGAGGGATTAACATGTTTTGGGAACATTCCACAACATTAAATGTAATTATAAATGGATAAAAAGTATGACGTCATTCTTTAATAAATGAAAATGTGTCCGTGTTGGCAAATTACTTAAGTCGGTACATGCTGTTATTGAAACATAATCTCCTTCATGGTAGTAACAGCATTCCGCTCTTATTTTCCTATATCGGCAAGCTCCATTGTGTTTTATTTCTTTAGGAATAAGAAGCAATGCTTTTTGCATGCTTGTTGATGATAGCGTATGATGCCTTTCTTATGATGGGGAACTGCTGAGTAGCTACTGCATTACACTTTTACAACTAGGCTTGGCACGTGATAACATGTAATTATTTTAAGACATGGAAATTTCATCCACAACACCTTTTCAGATGTCATGTGAATATGCTTGAAGAAGAGTGCTAAGTATCATACTCTGTATACAAGTGCTAAAAGACACAGACAGTTGGCTTTGGTCATAACAGCAGAGGGAGGAATGTCATGCTTCACATACATAAAACAAGGGCAATTATGCTCTGCTGCCACTCTCTTGACTCCCGGCCATGGATAGCTGTAGCAGCAGCGTCAAGCTCACAATCTACAAAGCACATGCTTAGACAGTTCCACCACTCGGATGCCCTACATCTGCCTAGACCAATCTGCCCTAAATGTTCTTTGAAGAGAAAGTGTAGCTGGAGTGCATGACATGACAACCATGGAAAAACCCGGAAAAACCTCCATCTTTCTTTCACCTGGATCAGGAACTCAGCAGAAGAGGGCATGGGGGGTCTCACAGCTCCAGGGCCAGATGGCCTAAAGGTAACATAATTATTCAGCCCATTAGCCAGCCTAATTAAACACTCTATTCACACGTCCCATAGGCAGCTCACACAACCATAGTACAGTTCCTATAAGGTGTACTGTACCATTCAGGCATATTCATCTTTGTATTATGAGACAGAGAGGTTTTGAATATACTGTTGATAAGATTACTGTTGTGAATGACGCTGTTGTATTAAAGCGAGCTCTTCCGATTTAATCAAATTGAATCAAGTAGTGAGGCTCTTGTACCATCACTTTAGGTTTTAAAGAGCAAATTCTTTGGTCACTGTAAATGCTGTGGGTTGATAAATATACAGTAAGCAATGATATTTTGATAATGAATAAAAATTGCTGGACTTTGGGTTTGTTCACAGAACTGTAAAGAACCCAAAATAAAGTTTTTTATTTATTCTTTTTGATCTGGTATTATTCCCCTGGTTCTAGACGTCTCTAATTTTGTACGTGTTTCAGATATTGTTAGAGACACTTCATAAGTAGTGACTTCAGGGTTTGTTCCCCATGTGGAAAAAAAGAAGAAAAAGAAAAAAAAAAATGAAAAGTTGGAACTTAGCTGTTTGAGCAGTGTCAAATGGAAATGTCAAAGAAAGGCACTTTTAAGTTATCCCTGTGGACTAGTGTTCGATTCCACCTTCAGGAACAGTGAGCCCTGTTTCATCAAAAAGATTTACTTTCTCCTGATTGTGTCTTTTCATGCTCAACATCAGTTCTGAATACATTTTGTGATAAAATAGGATAGAAATAATAAATAAATAAATAAAAAAGAGAGAGAGACACACACACAGAGAGAGAGGTCAACAAAGAAATGCCACTGAAGGGCTTCAAAATGCCTCTTGGCACCATAGTGCTGTTCCAATGCCTCAGGCTTGACTAGTGGTCTTTCAACAAGTTTAAGAGTGGAAAGCAAACTTTTTATTTAGCAAATTCTGTTTTATCTTGGCACTCTTTTTCAATGTCCTAACTTCTTTTATGACCATCAGTGAGTACGGGTGGCTTCAGAGGTTCAACTTGCTTAAAAATGTTGTGTACATGTTTGTGTACATTCATCTTATGTCACAAGATCTTCATCTGGTCAAGATCAAGGTGGAGCCAGGGCCTATCCCGGGGACACTGGGTGTGAGATAGGAATACACCCACAGAGGAATGCCAGTCCATTGTACACACAGATTTATACACTCACACCAACAGTAATCCGAACTCCAGATCAAACTGGGGATCAGGAAGCTGTGAGCTGCAGCACTGTGCCTAGGGCTGCAGGACTCAAGTCTGATCTTGAGATGTTTTGAGATGTTTTGTATATTGACTTGAACTTGTGTTGGAATTATTGCCATTTGTACATGGACTTGTTTCAGTCTTGGTGTTGATTTTGCTAAACAGGCACTTTGTCTTGACCAAGAGACCAAGAGACTAGTGGTAACTCAATTATATGGCTACATCTATTGTCCAGAATGATTCTTCAGACTTCTATGTGATTCTCAAGAGAATTTCCAGAATTGGTCTGGGATATATAATACTGAAATAAAGGCTTGTGCTCAATAAGGATTTGATGGTTTTCAAACTCTTTTAAATTTGGACTTGATCTTGACCTGAACTCAACCTCCTTAAGACTTGGTCTTGATTTGACACTTGTCAGTGGCCTTCTTCAGCCCATTGTCTGTGCTCTGTGCCTTCCCTACATATTAAAATGAGATATTTAAATTTAAATTTCATATTTTAACTGCTGGTACTTTTGTGATACCCTGGCATCCCATCCAGGGTGAATTCCTGCCTTGCCCCCAGTGTTCCAGGGCTAGGCTTCAGATCCACTACCACCCTGACCAGGATAAAGTGGTCACTGAAGATGAATGAGTAGCTGAATGACTGAGCTATTTTGATGCAATTTTAAACTATTGTAAATAATTAAAAGCTGCAGAGCATTTATTAAGTGGCTCTGGTTCACACTTCCCTGACGTTTGTGCTGTGAGTATAACTCAATACATCAATCTGAATCAGAACATTAATAATAGTTTACAGCACACACTTAAGGGGCTTACCCCAAGCGATGACGAAATCCCAGTTGGAAACTGTCAGACTAATTAGATCAGCTCATAGTCCCCCGTCTTATTCAGAATATTGTCAGAATGCCAGTGATGACTTTGGAGAGTTTGTATTCCAGGCTTTAAATGACAGAAGACAGCGTGGGCTGGGGTTTTTTTGTATAATGAGCAGTGTCGCATACAGATGAGCTATGCCTCTGAAGAGGCTGCAAGAGACTGTCAAAGGAGTTTTAGGAAGATCTAATGGTTTTTTATATATATATGAAGAATGACTGTGCTGTACGTATTATAAAAGAGAAAGAAAATCAAACACATTATTCTTTAATGTTTGGGGTCATGTTAATAGTCCAATTGATATTCTTTTAATGTAAACCAGAACAAAATAGAATACAGTTAAAATGCACCATTTTTTAAAATAAAAGGCATGCTTCTTAAAATCGGACATCACTCAGTCATATTGGTAAGTTATTACAAGGAAAAATGTTATCCTAGCATTTTGAGAAAATGCCTTAATTTCTCCTGCTTTTATCCTGCTTAGTGATACTAAGAACCTTGGGTCCCTGGAGGATAAGTGGTTAGGCTACAGCGCTCTCACCTCTGTGGCATGGGTTTGATTCCCAGCCACTGGGGTCATGTGCAACAGTCCGCTCTCAGTGCTGGTCCCAAGCCTGCATAAAATTGGGGAGGGTAGCATCAGGAAGGGCATCTGGCGTTAAAAACTGTGCCAAATCGAATACGTGGAGCAATGATCCATTGGGGCGACCCCTAACGGGAGCAGCCAAAAGAGGGACTACAACAACAACAAGTGACACTAAGACCTTTAGTGTAAGATGCTTTTTGCATACTTAAAGTTTCCTTTAAAGGGCAAACAAGCTTTTCTGTAATGTAAGCATGCTTGCTGAGGTCATTCACAACACACTAAGCACCACTTTATGGTAAGATGTTTAAAGGCAACACATTTTATGTGTTTTTATAAGATATAATGCTATTTGCAAATGTGATACAAATGTCCAGATGAAGGAAAATCTGGTAATATTGTTCATAATGTAAGCATTTTTTTTATAAAATCTGTTATACCTCAATACTGTTGAATTCTCTTGAATTCTCAATACTGTTGAATTCGATAAGTTTGGTCAGTAATTGTTGCATAATTTGACAGTAGAGAGCATGCTGTGTCATTTATTAATAAATTAAAAATTGTAATCATTGGCAAATTGCTGTGGTATAAGGGAAAATAAAACACTTCATGATGTGTTATAGAAAAATAATCAACTCAGAGGTGGTAAGAGTAACTCAACTTCACTGAATTTGTGCAAAAACTCATAATGCGAGTGTCATTGTACTGCACAAACATTATAACTAATAATGACATGTCCTTAAAAAAAGCAAAAAAAACAAAACAAATGTAATATTTATTAACAATTAAAGAAATATTATGAATAATTAAAACATGATCACTGAGTGCTTCAAGTAAAACAAATGTTTGGTTATTTCTTGTTATGAGTAAATTACAAGACTCTATTAATTTTATTTCTGTAATGTAATATGGAAACACTGATTAATTAGATATTCATAAAAAAAAAAAACATTATTGTAGTTTGAAAAAAAAATGAACGACATGCAGAAACATTATTACAGAGCCCCTAAGGGGACATGGTGATGGGAAAAAATATGAGATGGGAGGAAAATTTCTATTTCAATGCTTTTGCGTTCGCTCACAAAACTTTTGCGTTCCCGTGATAAACTTTGCATTCGATCTCAAAACTTTTGCATTCTCACACAATGATATTTGCATTCTTTCGCAAAGATATTTGCGTATGCTAGAGAATGCAAATATCTTTGCGAGAGAAAGCAAAAAAAATTGCGAGACAACACAAAGTTTCTTGGGGGAACCAAAAGTTTTGCAAGTGAAAGCACAGTTTCTCAGGTGAACGCAAAAGCATTGAAATTTTCCTCCCATCTCATTTTTTTCCCCCATCACCATGCCCCCTTTGGGAGTCCATACATTATTGCACTTTGATGTCAAAATAAAAAAGGCACATTGCAAAAAGTTCTAGGTTTTTTGTTTAGAAACATCCAAAAATGACAAGACTACACAAGCACAGTAGAAAGTGTTACCGAAAAACTTTTGACTCAAAGCTCAAGGGGTTAAAAAAAAAAAAAGCCAAACTACTAGAACAGCAGTTTTAAGCTTCACTTTAAACTTCTTGATCTAAATATTTGAACTAGAGAAGCAGCTTGAACATGGCTATAATAACATGCCATGCTACAATATCATAATGGTTCAGTCGACAGTATTTATTCAAAATATCTGGCAGGAGGTACATGAAAGTACACATAGAGGCGATTACTGTCAGCATCTCCTTATCAAGCCTATTAGCCTCCCCAATGTTCATGCCTCACATAATCCCAGCACGCTTATGTTTAATATGGAGCATTAAGACATCAAACAGATATACAATTTAGTTGTCTCTATTAGCCTGGCTGGCTTAATCTTAGCACAGTGAGCCATGTTAGAGCAACATCAAGCCATAGATGGCAATTGCAAAACCGTAGCAGTTACAATATGCTAGAAAGCAGTGCATAGAGATAAAAACACACAAATTTGTCCCCAGAGTAAAGGAAGATCTAAATTTTTACTGGGTTAGAATGTGACATAAATAGTAAGTGCTGCTGGCATGTGAGGTTATATGAGGTGCTCAAGGATTTGCACGGTCTGTTCATGGCAGGTTTCCAGAACCACTGTGGAAATATAGCTTTGCACCTTCAACAGTGATGAGTTAAAAATAATAAAATCCATCTGAAAAAAAAAAAAAAATCTGGAAGAAATTCATTGTACATTTATATGGTATAAGGTGTATAGGGAAAATAAACAATTAAGCAAATATCAAAAGAATGACCTTTAATTAATTTATTGGGGAATTGTTGTGCAGTATTGATCTCTCTCTCTTTCTCTCTTTGCTTATATCACCTCCTAGGGCATACATTATTCACTAAAATTACATTTTGTTCAAAGGCACTTTTCATCTTTTATTTATTAAGTATGATGTGCTATATAAACAAAAGAAAGAGAATTATTCTTAGATAAACTACTGCAGTTTTTATACTGCAGGGTTTTCTTGTGCAGTGCCTTCTTTTATTCCATGTTTTTTTTTGTTGTTGTTTTTTCTCTCAAAAATCAAAGCATTTTGTGAAAATGCTTTCAGCTTATCCTGACTGATGACACTGAACCCATGTAAGATGATCTGTGCATACACAGTTCCCTTTAAGAAAAAGCAAGCAAGCCAGCTTGGCAATGAAAGTGTGCTTAATGAGATGATCCAGTGATCCACAGCGCACTGAATACCACATATCTATCTATCTATCTATCTATCTATCTATCTATCTATCTATCTATCTATCTATTGCTCAGAGCTGTTTGGTTTATATTAATGTGCTTGTTCTAATACATTATCATTTCTATAGTAACACAATGACCTCTATGGCAGACTCCACATACTGTAAATGGATTAAATAAAACAATTGGATGAGGTCTCCAGTGTCACTGCTTTATAACAGTGACAGAGGGAAAGTTTTCCTTTAAGTTTTCAACATGGGAAAGTGTTCAGGATGGACAGCTTTGAGGTTTTCCGGTAAAATGTGGTACAGTTGTGTTTTCTTTTCCCCTACTAACCTCATGAGAGAGGGGAAAAGAAGTCTGGTGAAGGAATAACTGCTATAGTTGTTTTGTAGACATTCCACAATGCTAATGTAAATATGAACATATAAAAAGTATGCCATGCCATTCTTTAATTAATAAAAAAATTATAATTGTTGACAAAGTCCTCTGGTATAAGAGGAATAAAACACTTTGGAATGTGTATTTATAGAAAAATAATCAAATTTGGGGGCGGTAACAGTAACTCGGATTTGCTTTAGGCAATATCACATCTCATTCTTCGATTATTTAACAGAATACCCCACTGTGTTTTATTCCTTATTTGGCAAGTTAGGCATTTCGGCTACTAGCTCTTGGCTATTCCCTGTGTTACTTTTGTTTTCAGCTTGGGAATTGGATAAATTGCACAAATGGCATAGGTAGCAATAGCATATATAATGGGAGCATGTGCTGACTAGTACTCTCCCCTGTGCTGTCACCTGATTTCCTGTCTGCACCTCAGTATTGTGGTCTCCTGACCTGTTTGCTGCTTGGACTGTTGTTGGTATTGCATGGCGATTATCCAAGGCATTCTCCGGGTTGAGCTTCCATGATTTTGTTATCATAGGTAGGCCTGAGGGTATGCAACATCCCTTTCTGTCCATGCCATGTGATAGATTGTGTCACTGATTTCTTATTTGGTGTCACAGGTGATAACCGGTGTACTGGCTGCTTCTTGGCATGAGTGCTGTGCACTGATCATGCTTCACTCGCTGTCCCGGTATGTATTTGTGATGTACCGCTGCAATATTTCCAAACCAATGCATCAGTTATGGTGTTTTATTGGCTTGTTTGCAGGTATTTTAGCCTGGATGCTTTATTGGCTGGCTTCCTGACTCTTTGTGTTGGAGGTTTTCTGCACTGTGACAGCTGCTGTTTTGCTTCTTCTGGGGTCCCAGTAGAGGTCTTGATTACTTTCCAGGTGGTGCCCTGGAAGTCACCGGAACAATGAATGAACTTGGGGTTGGGTTGTTTTCTTTGAGTAAGGGAATGGTTTGTTCAGAAAATACATTGAAGATTTGTGTTTCGTTTTTTTTTAATACATAGTATTTATCGTTTTCATTTGTGTGTTTAAGTATTAATTTATTCTTTTTTTTGTACTCTTTATCTTTTTGTTTTGGAGTGTTTATGTTGAACCCCGCATTGGTTAGTGTAATTAATGTAGCATGTGGATGTAGTGTACTTTTGTTTGTTTTATTATTTTTTTCTCTTTCTCAATTGGTTTCTGTCCTGTGATTATTCTCACTTACATTGTATTTTTGTTTACCTTGCTTAAAGCAGTATGGTGCAGTAATGTTGTGGCCTGCCTCCTTTTTTTCTCTTGGAGGTTATCTCTAACTTTCAGTTGAGCTCCCTAGTGTGGCATTGAGTTCCCCTTATAGTAACATTTGGTTGTCTTGAGTGCTGTGCTAAATGACTTTTAGCATTGACAACACGGTTTGTTGTGCCTACATGTAAGTTTTTGGTGCATTCTTTGTGATAGGCCCCTACATAGTCCAGTAGGTCTCAGCTCTCTCTTGCATCGGGTTGGGTGAGTTTATTTGTTTCTTTTTTTGTGTGTTTTGCTTGCCATTGATTCTCTTTTTTTGGGGGGGGGGTAATTGTTTGTGCCTCTGCAGCTGTATGCTTATTTACTTGGTTGTGTTTCATTTATTTTCTCATGTTCTTGCTTTTTTTTTTGTTTATATTTTCTCATTTCCTTTTTATTTTTTTGTCTGTCGTATTTTACTCACGGCTCGAACCCGAGTGTCTTTTTAGCAGATATTGCGCTGGGTGAAATTCCCAGGGTGGCGTAGTCTCCCTTCTAGTTGTAGTCATACCTTTAGGGCTCAGTAACAACATTTCCCTTACACCACATTTAAATACCATATCATAAATCAGTATTGGTGTTTTAAGGACATGCACATTTTGTGGATTTATGAGACCTATTTGT